AAACCACCTCATCATCATCATCATCATCATCATCATCAGCTTCTGAACTTCAGTACAAGAAATTACAGCATTTGAGGCACTACTTCTAATTTCCACATCACTAAAGTAAAAGGTACTCCCAAATACAACCAACAAATTGAAAAATATGAAACCAATCAATAATGTTTCTCTTAAAAATGTTTACTATCACAGGGGCATTTTTGTGGGTTTTCATTTGATTGATCAAAATATATAAAACTGGGTCACAAGCTCTGCATGTCAAAGGACCATGTTGTCAAATAGAAAAACTGCTCTAGAAAGTTGATATCAGACTGGATCAACAAGTTTTATTGAATTGGGAAATTTACTCATTGTTCACAACTTTCGTCTCACTTTGTGAGGAAGGCATAAAGTCATTGAGAGAGTGAGAGTACTTTTAAACCACTTTTAGCAATACTCCAGCAATAACATGGAATTGGACACCAGAAATGGGCTTCACACACTGTACCCTGTATGGAATTTAACCCAGTCTTCAGCGTGACGAGTGAACGCATTAACCACCACTTTTACCTCACCAAGCTGATAAAGGTACCAAAATAGAACAAGCAAAAGAAATGATTTTTTTTAAATAAAAAACTTAGAATAGGCATAATAAACCCTGTGCTATGTGGATGATATCATATTTTCTTATGCCAAAAGTATTGAGTCATTTTAACCATATGACAAGTACGAATTATACGAAACGAGTGTCCTTCCTATGGTATCTGACCAAGCGAAAGAGAGGTCAGAAACTATAGGAAGGTCATGAGTTTCGTATAATTCATATGTCATGAGACTGAGTGTGGTATTTTATTTATTACCCACGTCTTACATGCACTGAAATGACAAAATAGCGTATTTTTGTTATTGATATGGTTTCAAACCGAAACCGGTTTCATAAAGAGGTTGCAGAAGAATTTTGTTCTGTAGTACACTTTTGCATGACATCACACTGTATTGACGTCACTACACCATTCTCGTCTGTCCCCTTGGTAACCGACGTCACGATGCATGTCAGTTGTCATTGCCTCTCGTACAGCCTCCTACAGTAAACTACTCCGTAGCACCCCGTTTCTTGGTTTGCAACTGCTTCACCCGGCTAACATCACTGGTGGAAACATTGCGTTTATGTTTTTCGACGGATATAATGTCTCAGTTCAACTCACAATTAAACAGCGACACGGCAACGTTCGCAATGTTTACATTCCCACAATGCATCTAAGTTGTAGAATGAATGAATTCAAGTGTTTGTTATGAATGAACAAGTAGTTCCGTCACAACATGACCTAACTGAGAGGTCATCGGTTATCCAATCAAATCGTTAGAATCTCAGGTCAAGTCGTTACGACACATGTCAACGCAATACGACACTCGTGTGACGTACGAGATTAGTATGCAACTACCCATACGTTGACCACGTGGGTAATAAAGAAGAAATAATAAACCAATGAGGAATGGTCGTGGCGGTATTGAACTAAATTTGCCTATGTTGAATTCAAATGAATCCCTGAAACTGAACAAACGAAACCATTTATCTTCTAAATGTGTGCAATGAATGCTAATTGTAATTTATCAGAGAGTGATGCATGGTAATCTTAATCCCTGAACGTAAAACATACCCCAGTAGGACAAGAACTGGTACATCATCATGTCTTGTGCTGTTAAATTCAAATTTCATATTTTTCATTGATTTTGTTACTTTATGTTCATTCACATAGAGCATCGCCAGTTGAAGTTTATGACTGTGCAAAATAAATGAAATGACAAGTCTGAGGTGTGCACTAAACACAAGAAGATGATGTCTCATGTATTGCTACATATAGGGTAACAAATAAAGACATGGAATGATTGCAAAACAGAAATCAACACATAGCTTCAAAAGCCAAGCTGGCTTGTCGTCTGAAACATTTTATCCTGATAAACTTAAAATGCATGTATATTTTGGTTTTGTTTAAAAATGATTTCTTGATCTGTTAATTGTATACCACTTCTGACTTGCCCAATAGAAATATTAATAGACACAGTCTAGTGGGCTAGTATTTTGATTAGTTAATAATGCAATATAAATCAAGCAGGATACACAAAGGTTAAATACATAATCTCAGTAGTTGGGTGCAATATGCATAACACTAACGGAGGTAAATAACTATAATCACAATAACAATCAGTGAAAAGAATGATGAATAAAACAGAATTCATCCATAACCAAGCAACATGTAAGCAGCACATGATGCTGAACAAATATTCACCCATGGACCATAAGTACTCACACAAAATGGCTGCAGACTGTGTTCCACCTGTTCCATTACTCTGGACTTGAAATTTGTAATTATTATATTTTAAAACGAATGTTTTTGCAGCACTGGTGGAGGTAATATCAGTGATTATTACTTTTTATAAAGGAGTACTTTTGTGATTTATAGAAACACTCAAAATGTGATACAGGAAGTTCACAAAGTTATCTCCCTTTCTCTTGTGACGTCTGCTATCCACAATCAGAGACCATATAATAGATCTATTAATCTATTATATGGTCTCTGCCACAATGGATGGATCTTGACACATAATCAACATAGTGATCTTCAAAGAACATCTAAATGAACAAAGGTGAGATCTTTGTAAGAACAAGAGCATTCATGCAAATCTTTGGTGTCCCAATTAGTCCAGATCTAAAGCTATATTCCATCCCTCTGTTGAGCTGAAAGACATGTCCTTACACTGCGGCCATTTTGTGGAATCCTGATGGTCCTAGACTTTATAAATGAAATAAGATAAACATTGTTCACATCTCAAATGGCTATTTGTCAACTTCAACAAAAACAAAAATAAACAAAAAGATCAGAGTATGTGTCATTCCATCAGCTCTAACAACATTTTCATGTCAGTAAGTTACAAACATAAGTTAATCACTGCAGAGTATATCTGAAGCACAACATACATGAGGCCTTAGTATGCTACTTATTTCTAATTAAATAATAAATTAAAACATCTTACAATGTAATACCAACAAAGAAATGTTTTAATTTTTGTTCTATTATGAAGTCATTTCTACTCCCAGCTTCAAATGATCAATGAAAAATAACATCAAAATCAGATACTAGTGCATGCTACGAACACTAAGCTGTGATTTTAATCAAAAGTCAAATAAAAGATAGATCATTCAAAAGTCTGTGGTTATCTTTGCAACAAGGATGTGCTTATGATCAGTATTCATATAACTTAATTGAAATAAAAATGTAATGAAAGAGCATCTCCAGAAATAATTAAAGGTGATTCATGCAATTTTTAAGAGACACAAAAATGTCAAAAGAACTATTATCTTCCTGCTGTATGCAGCTGACTATGTTCAGAGACTGCAGTGCTAACAAGTTTGGATTACTGAATACTTCACACAGAAGAATGTTACTGACATGTTACTACAGATGGTATTGAGTGACTGAGTTTGGTTTTACGCCGCTTTTAGCAATATTCCAGCAACATCACGGCAGGGGACACCAGAAATGGGCTTCACACATTGTGCCCATGTGGGGATTCAAACCCGGGTCTTCGACGTGACGGGCCAACGCTTTAACCATTAGGCTACCCCACCGCCCCATAGATGGTATTGAGTTTAGGGGTGACTATTGAGGAGGAAACAACTATTGCGATATCAATAGTCTATTGCAACATACTATTGCGATATCGATAATCTATTGAGACCAACTATTGCAATAGTTTTTCTCTCCTTGAATTGTCTCATTTGAAGTTATTGCCCAAATGAATGTATAGTTTATATGCGATAAAAACAAGTTGAAGTAGTTTCAGTCTCTTTTAATAACTTACAAGAAACTTGAAACCCAGATCAAGTAAACAGTTAAAACATAAACTCAATGAAGCTGCAAGTCTGCACCCAAACATACTGTATTTTGCGCTGTGAATTTATCAACGAAAGTCCATGTACTAAACTATCGACAGTCACACATACTATCGATGCATCAATAGTTTTTGTTTCTACCATCGATTAATTGCTATCGGGGACTCAACAATTGCAATCCATCGATAGTTCAATGCATCGTTACAGCGCTAATTGAGTTGTTATTAAGGTCTTTTAACAAATACCAGTAACACAAGCAACACAAAAGTGGCGATTCTTGAATCTCAGACATAATAGTGGCTAGAGTCAGACAATGAGCAGATAAAACAACCTCTGAAGATTTGATTTTAAGTACTAATATTAGTACTGACAGAATGTATAGCTGTCGAGTTTTAAAAAACACAAATGCCATTTCAACTCACTGGGGAGCATACAACCAATGGATAATAACTCAAATTTCAGACTTCAGAGTGAGTATGCTTTTACGTTGCTTTTAGCAATATTCCAACAATCGCACAGCAGGGGACACCAGAAATGGGCTTCACACATTATACCCATGTGGGGAATCGAACCCTGGTTATCGGTGTGACAAGCGAACGCTCTAACCACAAGGCTACCCACAGCCCCCGCCAAAAGTTTCAAACTTGTTTGGACAACGCCATACATACATTTGTTGTTTTTAAACAACAAATGAATTTGAGACATAAAAATTTCACATTCAATCTGACCATCTGAGGTAAAATAATGTCCAAAGTTGAAGAAATGACCAGAAAACACAGTCTGAAACAACTGATGCAGCTATGTGTTAAACACAACTCAATGATTCTGTCATCAATAAAACAAAAAACCATAAAACAATCAATGCCCCAAGTAAAATAAACATGTATAAACAAAATGGAAGGAATGGAATGACTATGTTATATTGTTTTGGAAAATCTTTCACTGACAGAAGTTGGTTAGTTTGTTGTTTAACACCGCCCTCAGCAATATTCCAGCAATAAGACGTCAGTCTGTACATAATCGAGTCTGGACCAGACAATCCAGTGATCAACAATATGAGTATCATACTACACAATTGGAATACGATGACAAGTGTCAACCAAGTCAGCAAGCCTGACCACCTGATCCCGTTAGTCGTCTCTTACAACAAGTATGTGTTACTGAAGACCAATTCTAACCCAGACCTTCACGGGTTTCACTAACAGTAAAATCAGCAGGTGAAGGAATAGCAATTGTTGGGTTTGTAGACATGAGTCAATCTCATTGACAAGTGCATGTTCCCCATACTGAAAAGCCAGAAATGCACACAGACCTTGCTAGGTTAAGTCCATGGGCATATAAATGGAATGACGATCAAATGTTTCTAAGCCCATGGGCTTATATTTAACAAAACACTTGTTTGGGAAGGTATGTTCAGTGACAAATAATAGCACTTACATGCATGGCACAATTTAACCTCGTTTCACACTACAAGTTTTGTCAAAAAACAGTCTGTGGTTTTCGATGCTTACAAGACACTCTGGACATGTCAGTGATATGATGTAGATTTGCTGCGATAATTTCAGCTTTTATTATAGCAGAGCCCCATCTAACAGGGCATGGTGTGGAAGCACTTTTTTCTGCCTAGAGTGAGTGAGTGAGCATAGTTTTAAGCCACTTTTATCAATATCACGGTGGGGGACACCAGAATTGTGCCCCTCCTTCCTGGAGGTGCTATCTCAAAAATTCATGAATTTTTCAATGTCAAATTCAGTGTCGTGTTAACACTCTTGTATTTTTGTGCTTTTTAATAGAACTCAGTAAGAATAGGTAAAACTATAAGTAAACCCAGGGCAAGGAAACACATATTCCTAGTAACTGTCATCCACATATATACAGATATATACAGAGATCTATAGAGATGACAAAACTTGATGGGGGATCATCTTTATTTTCATCCATAAAGTTTTGTCATCTCTATACCACCAACTTCTAGAATACCACTCAAAATAAATCAGTGATTTATGGCTGTTACTGGGGCATGCTAGGAATGACAGCCTTGACCTTCATCTACCAGGACTTGCTAAATATTGAGTGAATCAAAATTCATTGAATAAATGATGATCTAGTTGAAGACATTATGAGTCTTAGCCGAGGATACCTCAATATGTGCCAATACTTTACTAATCGACAATTCTGTGCATAATTTTGTCTTGGACAAGCAAACTCATGTTAAATTTATTCAAACTGGCAATTTTAAACATATATTTATCATTTGAATGTTGGTCACTTCATTTGAAATTAACACAGTGGAAACAAATACTAGAAACAATGTAATCTGCAAAATAAATACAATATTGGAAACAACCATCCATTGGAATTTGACAGAGTTCACATTGACGTAATTGCTATGTTATTCTAAAGGCTGAAATCACCAATCAACAAACCCATGTGGGGCTTGTGGTCACATGGTGGTCACATGGGGGTCACTTGGTGGTCACATGATGGTCACATGGTGATGCTTGTGGACTGAACGTCATCCTCTGTCAGTGTCTGGTATAACCCATGCTGTCTACTTCAGTACTGGCAGGTTGTAAAAACTGAAGCCTGGGCGGCCTTGGACAGCAAAGTATATGTACACCAGGTGATACACTGAAACAGAATCACGTGATACCATGATGATGAGCCATGATACAGAATGATGTAGTGGTGGGCCGGGTGGGAGACTTGATAATTTTGGTGGTGATAGGATGAGATGAAGATGGTGGTGGTGTTGGTGCTGCTGCTGCTGGAGGTGTGATAAAGTTGATAATGGTGATGATGAGATGTGATGGTGATGATGAGATGTGGTGATGGTGATGGTGAGATGAGATGATGGTGATGATGAGGTGATGTGATGATGATGATGGTGATGGTGATGATGATGATGATGATGGTGATGGTGATGGTGATGGTGATGATGATATGTGGTGATGGTGATGATGAGATGTGGTGGATGGTGATGATGGTGATGGTGATGGTGGTGATGGTGATGTGATGATGATGGTGATGATGATGAGATGGATGATGGTGATGATGATGAGATGTGGTGATGGTGATGGTGATGATGATGATGGTGATGGTGATGATGATGATGTGGTGATGGTGATGAGATGTGGTGATGATGATGATGATGATGTGGTGATGATGATGATGATGATGGTGATGATGAGATGATGGTGATGATGATGATGATGATGATGGTGATGATGATGTGATGATGATGATGATGATAGTGATGATGAGATGTGGTGATGGTGATGGTGATGATGATGTGGTGATGATGATGATGTGATGTGATGATGGATGGTGATGATGAGATGTGGTGATGGTGGTGGTGATGATAGAGATGATGGTGGTGATGATGATGATGATGATGGTGATGGTGATGATGAGATGATGATGTGTGATGATGGTGATGTGGTGATGGTGTTGTGATGATGATATGTGATGGTGATGATGATGATGGTGATGGTGATGGTGATGATATGTGGTGATGGTGATGATGATATGTGGTGATGGTGATGAGATGTGGTGATGGTGATGGTGATGATATGTGGTGATGATGAGTGATGATGTGGTGATGGATTGTGATGAGATGTGGTGATGGTGATGATGTGGTGATGGTGATGGTGATGATATGATGGTGATGGTGATGATGATGGTGATGATGATGATGATGATGATGGTGATTGTGATGATATGTGGTGATGGTGATGATGATATGTGGTGATGGTGATGGTGATGATGAGTAGTGATGGTGATGGTGATGATATGTGGTGATGGTGATGGTGATGATATGTGGTGATGGTGCTGAGATGTGGTGATGGTGATGGTGATGATATGTGGTGATGGTGATGAGATGTGGTGATGGTGATGATGAGATGTGGTGATGGTGATGAGATGTGGTGATGATGATGATGAGATGTGGTGATGGTGATGAGATGTGGTGATGATGATGAGATGTGGTGATGGTGATGATGAGATGTGATGGAGATGGTGATGATGAGATGTGGTGATGGTGATGATGAGATGTGGTGCTGATGAGATGTGGTGGTGGTGATGAGATGTGGTGATGGTGATGGTGCTGATGAGATGTGGTGATGGTGATGATGAGTTATCAGATATCAAGTATTCCAGCCATATGTTATTGGTGTATACAGTGATGTCATCTGGTGTGATGATAGTCATGGTGATGCTGAGATAACTGGATCATAAAAACACAACATTACAGTGTTTTGAGATTTTATGCTCATTGTCATATTCCTTACAACATTATTTCACATACTCACCTCCAGGTATAAAACATAGCAGGCCGATGATGAAAAATACCAAACAGTGAAGACCTGTGAATAGAAACCACAACAACCTGAAGAGGAGCAACTAGGTGTGGGCTCGGATTTAGGGGTATCAAATATTAATTAAGGGAGGGAAGTTGTCTGAACCCCGTCTACCAAGTGTATACTACTTTGACCAGTAAATAACTGAACCTAGTCAGACCAGACAAACATATGTGATAACAACACAGGCACGAGTATATACAATCAGATCTACATCTACTAAAGCAATACCAGCTGGTTTAAAGGCACAATGTCACACCAGACTTCTCCCAAAAAATAAGTAATGCATTTCTCTCAATAATACTAACTATCAGCCCTCAGGGAAGCTACCATATAATTTATTCCCAAAATAACTAGTATTTAGATTACAATATTAAACTAAAAAGTTTGAAAGAATTAATGCAATGTTGCATTAAATTGACTCGCTCGACCTCTACCAACTGAAAAATATTTCAAGTGAACCCCATAGAGTTATGTCCCTTGGAGCGCTCTTCACGAATAACTTGTGATTGAGGCCAGTTCGGCAAACTACGACAACACCACGTGCGACAGTTTTCATTTATGGCAAGTGTTCTGTGTTTGGAAGCTGTTTGCCTCGAAGTTCCCATTATCAATTTTAGGCAAGTCGTAAGGGATAATAAGTCTTTTATTGCATATATAGGAAGCTAAAGTGAGTGCATATGTCCCAATATATATAATATAGGCCAAAATATTGTCGAAACTGTGTGACATTGTGCCTTAACACCACTTGAAGAGTTTTCAGTCAAAACAAGTCAGCTTATTTTGCGAGGAAAGCCTGAAGGAAACATTTTCATGAAACCCATGAGCAGGTTATGGTGCTGACCAAGAACACCCTCGGGAATAGAATAGAATAGAATAGAATAATCTTTAATGCCTTTTCAGGAACTGACTGACTGAGTTTAGTTTAACCGCATCAGCAGGTTATTGCTGACCAATATCACCCTCGGGGGGAAACCAAGTGAAGATCCAGGTTAGAACTGGTCTCGGCGGACGAAATAACGCAGTAACCAATCCTTTTCAGGAATTTGTGTTACATCAGCAGAGCTACTGACACATTAGAGAGATACCAAACATATTTACATAAATTCTTTGATTTTAGGTATCTTCACATTTGTTTAAAGAGATATGGTACTTGGAATAAAGGATGTCACGGGCTCTCTTAGTTTTCCAATTGGAACTGGCCTGAAGGAGGAGGTTGTATTCAATTTAAGTAGTGAGAAACGGTCAGATATGATTTTGACAGCTTGATTCACGATTTGCATTCATATATTGATGATAAACATTCAAATCTGACTCCAGCGATTTTAACTTGCAGTGTTAACAATTTTGTCTATTTTAGAATTTAAGATGAAGTGAGAGAGACCCGTACCAACAATGGAAGGAAAATGTTAAAATACTCTGAATAAATGCTACATACAAAGATGACATCACAGATGGGTTAACATTAAAAGATCTCAGTTTACGCATGAGATGAAGACGTTGTTGACACTTTTTGTGTAGGGCTTTAGTGTTAGAGTTCCAGTTCAGCTTAGAGTCAATGAAGGTTCCCAGATAATTATACTCGACACTGTCTCAACACATTCATTGTTGATTATCACTGGAAGCATTTCTGTGGGTTTACTCCAAAAGTCAATTATCAGTTCCTTTGTTTTGGATCCCGTGAAGATCCAGGTTAGAACTGGTCTTCGGTAACCCATGCTTGTCGTAAGAAGTGACTAACAGGATCGGATGGTCAGACTCCCTGACTTGGTTGAAACTTGGTTGTCATCGTATCCCAAATGCGAGAACATGCTCATGACAATTGGGGCAAAGTAGGATTGGGACAAACAGCTGTCAAGAGAAGCAACTCTGCAAAGCAAGTTGTGGTTGCCTTTGACAACAGCGCCATCTGTGACCCTGGGGTATAGAGACAGGGGTGGAAATAACTTTAAAATTGCTAGTGTACTCCGGTACAGTGTCACATGTAAAATCACTTGCCCTGATAATTTGTCCACAATACTGGCCGATTTTCTTGTTGATTTTTTAAATAAACAACATAATTAACATCGGAAAGTCAACTGGACACCGGTACAGTGTGATATGCAAATTTGCTTGCCCGACAGAAAAAAACACCTGACTGGGGCATCGGGCAATCGGTTATTTCCACCCCTGAGAGACAGATAAAACACCGCATTACTCACCTCTTTGTGGTGATGCTAAAATTCCAATGCCAACAAAAAACAATACTGAAAAAAAGGGATAAGTTCATTAGATCACAATACATTCCATTGTCATCCATCTTTATATTCAAACAACATAAATGGCTTAACTAGTGTAGCTGCTGCAAGTTAAATATGTGTGTTCCAGGTGGCTATGTGCAGAGAAATTTGATCAATTCTTTTCCAATAAACCACTTAAAGATATGATACATATAAGCTGAGCATTTATGCATTACAAATTAATTTAAACAGTTATTTTGAGTATTATCTGGGGTGTCCATATACCAATCACAGATGCACAGCTAGTGACACCCTCTGTTGAATGGATATGACAACAGCAATAGCACTCAGAACACTGACAGCATGAAGAACTGAAAGACTGACTGACTGACTGAGTTTGGTTTTACGCCGCTTTTAGCAATATTCCAGCAACATCACGGCGGGGGACACCAGAAATGGGCTTCACACATTGTGCCCATGTGGGGATTCGAACCCGGGTCTTCGGCGTGACGAGCCAACGCTTTAACCATTAGGCTACCCCATCGCCCCAGAACTGAAAGACACGAGTGAAGATGAAGAATCATAGGACATGGAAATTGTCCCATGTGATATTGCATTGTGGATGAGAAAGCCACAATAACTCGGTGCGCCTAGTGGCTGCAAGAGTTGTATACTCCCCAGGGAGTTGAGATTGATAATACGATGTGCCGTTGAGATTGACATCCAATGATAGAGGGGAAAATACCAGCACCTTGAGCATGCACTAGTTGCCTGGATATGTGCGCTATATAAATATCCTATCCTATGATAATAATAATTCTTTATTCTTTGTTTAAGCAAGACTCAACAATAACATACAAATCCTCACCTAAACCAATTGTAGTAAGAACGAATGAACCCAATACCACTCTCCAATTCTCTCGGACTTTTGGGTGCCTCAGCCAACTGAAAGAGAGCAATACCCCTTCAAGCACAAAAATATAATCAATGTAGGTTACCATGGTTACATTGTCTGCTGAAAGTATATCATACATAGAAGCCATTATGAACGCATAATCTCCATGTTGGACAGTTCTTTGAAAAGTCATAGGGCCCACCAATCCCTCAGTTGGAACCTACAATCAACAAATCCAGACACACCAAAGGGAAGTAACTCTGTAATTTTTCTTAACTTTAATGCCTCACTCAGCAATGTTCCAGCTATATGGCAGCGGTCTGTTGATAATCGAGTCTGGGCCAAACAATCAAATGATTGACATCGACCAAGTCAGCGAGCCTGACCACCCGATCCCATTAGTAGCTTCTTATGACAAGCATGGGTTGCTGAAGACTAATTCTATTCCAGGGCCTAGATTTTCGAAGCTCTCTTAGCGCTAAGATAGTCGTAAGTTAATGTTATTGTATGGCACTTACGACTATCTTAGCGTTAAGAGAGCTTCGAAAATCTAGGCCCAGATCTTCACGGGGGAAAGCAGGGTATGAAACTCCAAAAACTTTCAGCCAGACCACAGGGCTGGTTAGATGTAAAACTTGCCAGCCCTGACCAAAACTTACCTGCCCACAAAATATCTTCATATACATGTCTAAATTTCAACCAAACCATCGGGCAGGTGAATTTGAGAAACTGGCAGTCCGTGTTGAAAATAACCCATCCCGGGCGGTCAGGCAGACAGGTATTTCGAATGTTGGTCAAAGATTATTAGTAAGTCTTTCTGAAGACAATGATTGTGTTTTGTTACTAGCTGTTTTGGACAGAATTTCAGTTGTAAAATAATATGTCACCTTAACGTGTGAGGATGTCATATGGATGGAATACTGATGAGCGCAGCATTAAAAAACAAATAAAACAAACAAACAAAAATAATGCAAGAGGACAGCAGAAATTAATACTGGAATTATTGCCATTTTGCCAAGACCCAGAAAAATTAGTAGAATTCTAGAATTATAACCAGGTTGGAATCCAAATCAACAGATCCCTACAAAAGGGAGACAACTCTACATAACAAACAACATTTAAACAAATAGATTGCCTCTATGATTGTTGTTTGTTTGTTGTTAACACTCAGCAATATTCCAGCTATATAGCAGCGGTATGTAAATATATATAAAAATATTGGACCAGACAATCCAGTGATCAATAGGGCTGCAACGAATACACTTTGTGGTGAATATGATATGTATCATGAATATTGGGTAACGAATACGAATAATTATTCACGAATACAGTATTGTAGTTAAGTGATTGATTTACAATATGAACGACCATGTTGACAGTTTTGATTTGTCACAGCAATAACCAGTGATCTCATGACACTCAAATTTGGTATGTAATAGTTATAGTCGACAGTACCATGTGTGGCCTTGGCAAACTAACATGATTTGCGCTACTGCATTGCTAGTACATATTCAATCCTTGCATATCTCACTTTCCAAAAGTACACAAGGGTTCAAGTAAAACATGCTTCCTTAAAAAAATCGTAAATATTCAGTAATATTCGGTTCTGGTGACCACGAATAACGAATTGAATTCATGAAGGGCTTCGGTTCGATTCACCGAATATGCGAGTGAATCGTTACAGCCTTAGTGATCAACATCATGAACATCGATCTACACAACTGGGATACAATGACATGTGTCAACCTCGTCCTCCACTGCTTCAATAATAAGTTCTTCCCTGGAACCAGCATAGGGTGTTTGTTAGTCCCAGTAACCATGGTAACATAACAGTACCTGTCACTGTCTGAGAATGACCGAGTGGACACAATGGTTTCACTTGACCACGTGGAAAGAGAATGGGTGGACACACCCCTGGCAAGAGTTCTCCTGGTCTGAAATGTACAACATGTAATAGATTACTCACAGTAATGCTGTGACCATGACGATAAAAAAGAACATGTGAAACTATCACTGAAATGACAGTGATCACATATATTTAGTAAATTTCCAAGAGTGTTGAACATTTTTCTGCCTTTCTTAGAGTGAGTGAGTGAGTTTAGCTTTACCCTCCGCTCAGCAATATTCCAGCTATATAGGGGCGGTCTGTAAATAATCAAGACAATCCAGTGATCAACAGCATGAGCATCAATCTGCGCAATTGGGAACCGATGACATGTTTCAACCAAGTCAGCGAGCCTGGCCTTTCTTAGATATATAGTTTGACCAGAAATTATTGAGAATTTTAGGAATATGTTTAATTGGATTTCTAGTGTAAACAACCTTGACCAGCTATCAAGTGCTTGGTTTCATTCAAGAGAGACAACTCTGTTAATCCTTTTTCATTAGTTTGTGAAGAGTTATCCCCCTTTGTTTACTTGCTAGCAGACGACATTTTCAGTGATCCTCAGTATGGATGATTTAGAGAAAAGGAAGTTGAGTTTAGAGTATTATAACAAGGACATCAGATCAGCTAAAGTGATTTCAAGTAGAATTGGCATCCCTTTGTCCACTGTTTATCGTGTTTTGAAAAATATTGCAAATGGATATGGCATTGACTCATTGAGCACCAGGGAGGCACAGGTAGGCCCAGAAAATTGACTGTCAGTGACAGGAGGCGGCTTGGTATTCTTGTTTCTAAAAACAAACGAAGGAGTTTAGAAAACTTAAGGCTGGATATGATTGATGGAGGAACTGTGGCTGTCTGTAAGGAGACAATTAGAACTGAGCTGCATGCAATGGGTTGGCAGAAAAGTCGAGGAATTCCATCACCGATCATGAAACCTGAACAAAAGGAGTGAAGGTTGAACTGGTGCTTACAGCATAGAAATTTTAACTGGGACAATGTGATTTTATCAGATGAAAGTTCTGTGTGGCTGTTTCCTAATACACTGAAATTCTGGGCCAAACAAACTGATAAACCTTTGTATCAGCGCCCAAAGTACAGTCCGAAATTTAACCTTTGGGGTGGAATATCTGTGTTAGGGGCAACGCCCCTCTGTGTATTGGAAGGGAATATGAACAGTGAGTGGTACACAGATATTCTCGAGGGACATTTACTTCCATCTGCTGACATGTTCTATGTAAATTTTTGGATTTTCCAGCAGGACAACGACCCAAAACATCGTTCAAAGCATTCACAGGCCTGGTTTCGGACCCAAAATATGACATTAGATTGGCCAAGCTATAGCCCTGACCTAAATCCAATAGAAAATGTTTGGGGACTTATGAAGGAAAGTGTCAATAAGAAAAATCTGACAAATATTGCTGAAATGAAAGAAGAGGTGGTCCAATATTGGGACAGCATTGACCACGACTTTCTAACTTCTTTGATCAGTAGTATGCCCCGCCCCATTGAAGCCTGCATTGCTGCCCATGGTGACTTGACAAAATACTAACTGTTCACCTGTCTTTGAATCTGGAGTTAAGTTCTGCTAATATTCACATTTAATATGTGAGTAATGAGTGAAAGAATATATATAAAATTACAATCTTTAAATTCTCAATAATTTCTGGTTGTACTGTATCACCAGCATGTTTTGAGATTTACTGTACACTGGTATAGTCAATAAAAAATATGTTATAGTTTTTGTCAGTATTTGTATAAGATAATGTCAAATCCACACAGAAATTAAGTCCAAAATGTTGTTTCCCTTCAAAACTGATTGACAATTTCGAACCAAGTGATTTTTTTCTGTCACATTGTTACCTCCCCTGTATCCATGACTACAAAATGGTGGCGACTGACCATGGTGACTTTGACATTGTAATAGGGCCTGTAAGTTTTGTGAGGCGCTACTTGTACTTGTACTTGTGTACAACCATGCTGGGCTGTCACAGCTGTTGACAGTCGTAATAATAGTCTAATTTGGGGATGGTTAGATCGGAAATTCGTTATTCCTGCAAAGATTATCGGTTCCTTAAACTAACCACCATGAGACCATTCAAAAAGGTATGAAACGTTGTTGTCACCGGAAGTACTAAGGTCTCGCGAAGTGCCGTGACCTACTTACAGACCCTCTATATACTTCAGCATGTAGATAATTGGATCTACAGGCACTGTCAGAATCACTCACTGTCAAACACTTTGCATTAATGACATCGCAAAACATATCTGGCTGCATCAGGCTGTACTTCACCATATTGCAGTTAAATTAGGGCTGGCTAAAAAGATAGAAAATCAAAAATATTGTTGATGGAAATTTTAATGTTTTACAGTATGAAAATGGTGGCATTGATAATATCGTACATAAAATTTTTGTGATGAAAAAATTGTACTTTTCTCACATGATATACAAAGGTACAGGGGTAGGTCTTTATTCATGTCTACTTCTAAATGATGTTCAGGACAATGTGTGTTGTTCATTGATAAACATGTCACCTCTCACCACTGATGTGAAATATGTTTATTTCTTTAAGACTTTTTTGTTTGACATTTTTGCTCAGAGTTATTTATCTGATATCTATTGAGATATGTAGAGATTATCATCCTCCCTTTTCCATATCTGGCCCCGTATCATCCCGAGATGCCCATATCTGACTGAGGCCATTGTCAGATATAGGAATCTCGGGATGATACAGGCAAGTTATGGGAAAGGGAGGGTCATAATGTTTTTATCATTTAATACTTACCAAGCAAGAATCTATCATGTTTAAAAACCTTTTATACTCTACAAAAATATTTCACTCAAACACTCAAAAAATGCCTCAACCAAATTTTATTCAACATTAACTCAACACCTGAAGAATGTCATTTGGACATGTTCATTCATTGTCGGTGTCGCTGTCGATTACCGGACGTCGGACACCTTTGTATCGTTTACCTTTGCCGTTTATAGCATTAACAAGAACATGCGCGTGAAAGTTTGCTCCCGTGAAAAAAAGTTTTGCTCTTGTGGCAAAAAATGACTGACTGACTGAGTTTGGTTGTGGCAGCAATATTCAGCAACAAACCTTGGATTGAACTTAATTGAAATCCAAACCTTTATCATCAACCCTGATAGGGAAACCAATAACTGATGACACAGTTTGCATGTTAGTTTCTAAAACACTTGTCAGTTCACACTCTGCAAAGTTATTATTTCCTCCCACTTTACTAATTCATCTAGTTCCATCTATCTGTTGGAAAGCAATGCTAGCCTCCGATCACCTGCCATTTTCATCAAAGGTTGCTGCACACTAAATCTGACGTCATTTTCACGATGTCATGGAACACATGACATTATTTTATTGTGTTACGTTCCACGACGTCACACACAAAATGAAGGGGTCAGATATCGGTTATCTCCCCTGCTCTGAGCAGAGAAGGTATGGCTTATCTTGCCGGGGCCAGATATGGATCCAACGATTTCGCCAATACTGGGGTAGCAAAAAATGCATATACGGGGAAATTATTACTGTATTAAGTGATGAATATTGATATTTAGTAAACAATTATTGATCTCTATGATCTATATCAATAGCTATCGCTAAATTCAATTCGCTTGCAAATAAACAGCCCTATGAAGAAGACTGACTGACTGAGTTTTGGTTTTACGCCGCTTTTAGCAATATTCCAGCAACATCACACATCACAGGGCGGGGGACACCAGAAATGGGCTTCACACCCCTATGAAGAAGAAGCTGTACATATGATTGCCGGTACACGGTGACATAGTGTACATTATAAGTTGTTTACTGGTCTCCATGTGTCTTCTATGTTTGTTTATACACAGGAAACATAAACAAACATAGAGGGTACATCATCCCATGGGAACCGAGGGACCAGTGAACAGCCTATTTATCTTACCAAACACTTCAATGTTAATTTTGAAATATATTACATCATAATAAGGAGTATCAGAGTTAGGCAATCTAGCAGTCGACACGAAAAACAAATTTAGAGTTATCTCCCTTTCATCACTTTACATTTGCAAAATGTTGGTAAATTCTGTACATCATACGTGACTCAATTATTTGAGATAAAGAATTACTAACACAAAGTACCAAATGAATTCCCACAGTTCGGCATTCCCAGCAGGTAACATAGAAAATGTTACTCCTTTGTAAACGGGGTACATTGAAAATAGTAGAACAGCGCTCAGCCAATCAGAAAACAACATTTATGTGTGAGGTAAGATAAAGGGTGTGGCATATGGTGAGTGTGAGTGAGTGAGTTTAGTTTTACGCCACACTCGGCAATATTCAATCTATATGGCAGCAGTCTGTAAATAATGAAGTCTGGACCAGACAATCCAGTGCTCCACAGCATGAGCATCGATCTACACAATTGGGATACTATAACATGTGTCAACCAAGTCAGTGAGTCTGACCTCTCAGTCCTGTTAAGAGCCTCTTACGACAAGCACTGCATGGCATATGGGTTAAACCAAATGTTCAAATGGTTGTACAGGGATTTTACTGAAGACAATCTGCATTTAAACATTTATGTAATTTTCATCAACATTTGATGGCACATTCTTTTATGTTAGGAGCAATTATTAACTTTTGGGGACTTTGGTTTCATAAAAATCATTTCCAGAAAACTGACGGCATTAGAATTTATGTCGAAATGTCACCTTTCACAGAATAAAAGAAGTTGTACATCCATAAAAATTGTCATCATTTTTCTAAACTCAACTTCTAAAATGCCCATCAAAGAAGACAAGTCAGCCAGTAAAAATTCAGATGTCAATTTTCTTTTGGATGACTACTTTTGTCATTAGCTAAATGGCGGCTGTAACTGATGCTTTTCCATAGGTGAAATTAACAAGTAATTTCTAAATATGGTCAGGTTGATGTGAACATGATTTACCTGAAAGACTTTTTCTCGGTACTTCTTATAAGTGGATTTTGTTGTGAACGAAACTGAAAAGAAAAGTTTTATGTTAGCATTAATTAATTAGTTATGTCTGTATACATGGTATTGTGAGTGAGTGAGTGTGTGAGTTGGGTTTAATTACACCTTCAACAGCATTTCAGTTAATTACGTACAGGTTGAAGATATCTACAACATACAAAAGACTCTCAAAGCAAAGGTATGGTGTAGAGTGATTAAGTGAGTCAGTTGGGTTTAATGCCGCTTTTAGCAATATTCCAGCAATATCACGGCGGGGGACACCAGAAATGGGCTTCACACATTGTACCCATGTGGGGAATTGAACCCGGCCCTTTGGTGTGACAAGCAGATGCTTTAACCACTAGGCTACCCCACCGCCCCCCTACGGTGTAGAGGCAGAACCAGAACTCGATAAGAACACTCTCAATTATGAGGTGCAGTTAAATCATGAGGGGTTTAACATCGCTTCCAAGATTATTGCACTTTCAAAGCAGCCTGCATGCATGGCTGTGTGTGGGTCTGGGTGTGGCTGCCTGTTCTAGACCAATGCTGGTGTTTAGTACTACCACAGTTTAAAATGAAACCCGAATCAGACACATAATAATCACTCCACACAGACTGGCAAAAGTATGCAGAAACTTTCCATTTTGAGACTCTCATACAGATTATGGTGAGTATAATCATGATAATGCTGCTGAAACTGAACTTCACATGTACATACACTGTTAGCTGTATTCCTGACAAGATATGATATAGAATCTTTTCACTGCAATGTTATGATAATCAATGTCAGTCATGTTTAAATTATACTAAAGTACCGTCGTAAATGCTAGAAAAATGCTTTTTGACTTACATGTATATTTAAAATTCAGAGGTATTACAGTTACATAAATAACAAATATCACTTTAAAAAAAACATCTACCTAATGTAGACCGAGGGAATAAATTTTGAGACATGCCCTAAAATGTGTTTTTACTGATGAAAATACCAAAAACTTAGAAAAATAACGGGTAGTGGGACGTTATTTGATACAAACATTAACTGCCTGTGCTACGTCATCAGCATGCACGGTATCGACAGGTGAAATTGACACCTGAGCACACACCGGGAAGGGATCATCTCAATAGATGTTTTCTTCAAAATGTTGAATATGTGTACGTATAGTATACGTATTGGTTATGTAAGGGATCATTTGTGTATGTGTGTATGTGTGTTTGTTTTGAAATAAACATACGAATTACTGTACATTGGAAAGATTCCTATCACTTGTGTTATCTTATCGATTGATTGTAGAAAATAATGTGCAACGTTTTAATAAATGTTTTGCATGTCAACAGTATATTTCATCGCAAAAATATGGATGTAATTCGGTCACTTTATTCTAGTTGTGAACATTGGCCAAAGATTTAACGAAGTCACTGGTGTAGCTTCTTTAGAATATATATATTATTCTTCTCATAAAGTTTGTAGACCGCCCGTCTAAGTACTCCCTTGTCAAAGTTGTCAAGGATGGTTTTACGTTCTGGTTTTGCTTTTGAGACGGTCTCTGTCTTGTCTGATTTGTGTACAATATTGTAAACTTGTTGGTAAGACATACCAACAGCTCTACAAGTTCTGTAATAAACCCTTTCTAAACTAATGAAAGGTTTACCTTTGTCTTTTTCAAGCACAAAAACTTATAAACCTTTGCAACAATTGACTGCAAATAGTTGGCCATAGTGGACGCTGTGATAAAGATGTGCATGCATGACGGGAAACTTTTTTATCAAGACTTAACATTTATATTAATATTTCTTCAATAAAGAAACGATAATTAAGTAAAGCAACACAAACATTCAACATTTATTTGTTAAAGAAAAACGTTAATTCATATTTTTACACCACCTGTATTATTAGCATAAATGTAAAGACTATTTCAGATTTCTGTTGTTGAACTCTGAAAAAATCTTAAGTTGTTGTTTTGGTACCATATTTTCTCCTGTAAACTGCCCTTTAAATACATGGGAATGTTAAATCGATTGAAATAAAAATTAGGTACACTATAGGCGAGTTGATATATTGACAACATAGTACATTTATCACCTTTATCAAAGTATTAAGGCTAAAAAGCATTTTTCTAGCATTTCCAACAGTACTTTAGTATGAAAATTACAGTTTAACTTTATTGTAAGGAGGATCATAAAAGTGAATCAGTATGATTTTACTATTCTTTTATATCATGGGGTGGGGTGGGGGTGGGCTTGGGAGAGATAAATGACAGGTGTTGGCTTTCATCCCAAGTCTCACCAACCGTCCCTGATCTTAAAGGACAGGTGAGTGAAGCATTCAGGGATTTACATGGAGTCCTGTATTTGAGGGTCCCTGGGACTCATACTCTTAATTTCCAGCGGTCCTGTACAAAATGGGGGTCCCAGACACTTCAATATTATTACTAATACTGTTATTGTATTGTGTATCATGATCATCACATTGTTACAGTAATTAAATTGCAAATAATACCATAACCCAGATAGTAGCAAACTCGGTGATACTTGACTGGAAATTTTACAAAAAGTATTTAGACTCTTTCTGAGTTCCTGTGGACGTGCTAATAAATTTTGTTGCGTCCATTGTCAATATTTATGTGTATAGTACACAGGAATCCGTGTCCCGTAAATCCCTGGCATTAACTTAGCCTGCTGGAGACCCTTAACACTACAGCACGTCAGCACTAGGGCAGTAAGTATGGTTGTGACCATTCACACAAACTTCATCTTTTGAATTTTTATTTTGGTATAAATATTAATTTACACCAGACCTTAAATAACGACATTGGTACCATTTCACAAAACCGTGATAATCAACCGAAGATAAGCTCGGTTTGACCAGCTGTTGACTGTGGAACACTATCGGGACTCCGTTGAGCTGTTGAAGTATGGGACTAATTCTGATAATTACGGTATAACAATATTACTATACTAAATATCAAAACGGTTTTTTATAGAAACTGAATTTAAAAATTATATTTCCATTTTCAACGAATTCTTGTTGTGTGTAAGAATACTAGGTCCATTTTGAGGTGTGAGGTACCTGAAAATGTTGTAATGGAATTTCTGTGCCTTCTTCCTCTTTATTTTCTTCGTCCAAGTCTCGAATTTTGGCTCCTTGTAAAGGAGCTGAAACTCTCGTTGCGCCATAAACCCTGACCTTATCCTCATCGTCCGAGTCGGCGGCCTCGCCTACATTCAACTTATCGTAGGGACTGCTAGCTGTCATTTTCTGCCATCATTCTTCCATCTTGTCAAAACTAACTAAGGGAGATAACCCCCACACCCGTTTGCTTTAAGATTAATCGCTAGAAAAAATAACATTTGCCATTGAACTGCCAAGAAACGACAAATTACTTTAACATTTGTATTTAAATGGAACATGTTGTAAATGTATTTGAAAATATCGGTTTAAATCACGTGTCAGGTTGGTAACTGAATAAATCCAGCAATCATGATTCATCAAAAAGTCCGTGCACTCGAACCCCACCATCGCCGAACATCAGCAAGAATTACATGTCAATTTACTTAGAACTTATGTTATTACGTAAACTAATTAAGATAGTGTCAAGGCCATAACGCACTAACGGGCTAACGGTATGTGTTTGTGGTGTTGTGTTTCTTAAGGTTTTTTCCTTGTTTGGTTGTTTGTTTGGGGATTTTTTTTATCTTTGTTGTTGTTTTTTAGGTGTTATTTTGGTTTTTGTCAGTTGCTTTTTGTTTGTTAGTTTGTTTTTGTTGTCGTGTTTTTTCTTGCTTTTTTTTGTTTTGTTTTTTGTTGTTGTTGGTTTTGTTTTTTTTGTTTGTTGGGTTTTGTTGTTGTTGTTTTTTTGTTTGTTTTTGTTTGGGGTTGTTTTTGTTTGGTTGTTTTGTTTGTTGTTGTTGTTGTTGTTGTTGTTTTTGGGGGTGTTGACTGGGTTTTGTTGTTGTTGTTTTTTGGGGGGTGGGGGGAAAGGTGCCGCTTATGTTTCTTTATTCATTCAGATCACTTCCGTTATTTCATCTAGTACACATTACCAGTTAATAATTTACATCAGTGATTGTCTGATTTAGTCCTGCGGTGCCTACTAATGTATGAAAATAGTTAAAGTAAGAGCACCTTCTCAAATATCACCCACGAAAACAGGAAACCGGTACTGCTGTTCCAACTAAAACGGAACTGGACGGGGACAATATGATCTTCGTAGAAGGCGACAAGACCGCTCGCACCAACCACTGCCACAACTGTCTCAGGAAATGGGGATGGTCATACAATCCTCAACAAGTTAGTTATTTAGTGTTTATGCACGCAAAGTGCTATTACTTGCATTGTAGTAATGCAATATCCCGTTTTGAACATAAGGAAACTGCCCCAGGTCACGGAGTAGATACGATAATTTACAGCTTCTATCTTACAAATATTCCTAACCAACTTAAAAAATGTTTAAATGAGGGGCGAAAGAAAATATAATGACTTAATTTCTTGTGTAACTGAAAACCTTTGATGATGTGAATTTTACCATCACCCATTCCTGCAAGATTTTGTGAATCTAAAACTGGATGGGTAATTTTGTGTGCAAAGTTAAGACTGGGATAAGAAATGAATCCGAAACTGACCCCTGCCATGTATTTCTTTTGCGTCGACAAAATAAGCATTTCGATTTAATAAATCAAACATAAGATCTCTAAGATACCTACCAGCAGCTGTGTATTAAGGTCCTTTACCCCATATTGTAAGGTTAAAATCAAAAGTTGTTTAGAAATAAAGAAGTGGAAGGAGTTTTGAGTGCTGAAATTAAGCGTTAGCACAGTTAATTGTTTGGATCGAATATTGCTATGTCAATATACGTTCAATTGAGAATTGACCCGTGAATGTCCGGGCATATTGCTGGAATATTGTTAAAAGCGGCGTAAAGCTAAATTCACTCACTCACTCACTAATTCTTAAGTGTAAGCTAAATGCTTCGCGGATGTTTTAAGCAGGAAATAAACGTCTATAGGTTATTTTTGAACTGTTAACAAACATTTCGTAAATCCGTTACTTAAGACAGGAAATACATTTTTTTAAAAATGAACATAAAATCAAGTTTGTTAAAATATCTATAAGTTACTGGACATGTGCTTTAGATGTTGAGACCCGTGAAGGTCCGGGTTGGAATATTGATCTTCAGCAAGTCATGTTTGTCGTGAGAGGCAACTAACGGGATCGGGTGATCAGGCTCGCTGACTTGGTTGACACATGTTATCGTATCCCAACTGAGTAGATCGATCATGATCACCGGATTGTCTGGTCCAGACTCACTTATTTACAGACCGCCGATATATCGCAGGAACCTTGTTGAGTGCGGCGTTAAACAATAAACGAACATTTGATATTCAAATAATAATTCAATGTCACAACAGGGCTGCCAGTTAACGAGAGTAAATGATAAAGGTGGTGAGGTTTCTCTGTGGTTAAAGGGGCGGTGGGGTAGCCTAGTGGTTAAAGCGTTCGCTCGTCACGCCGAAGACCCGGGTTCGATTCCCCACATGGGTACAATGTGTTAAGCCCATTTCTGGTGTCTCTCTCTCTCTCCCCCCTCCCCCCCCCGTGATATTGCTGGAATATTGCTAAAAGCGGCGTAAAACTAAACTCACTCACTTACTCACTCTCTGTGGGTAAAGCGTTCGGATCGTCACGCTTTCGAGTTCGATTCCCCGCAATGTGTGAGGCGCATATGGTAAATTACGGGACACCAGATATGGACACGCATCACAATGCCTATTTTGGGTATCGAACTCGGGTGTTCTGCGTGTCGAGCGAACGCTTGTGTCCGTTGGACACCCCACCGCCCTAACTAGAGTGAGTGAGTGAGCATGGTGATAGACTTCTGTCAGCAACATTCCAGCAACATCACCGCGGGGAGTCCAGAAATGGGCTTCCCATACTGTACCCAAATGGAGAATCAAACCCGGGCCTTCGGCGTGACAAGCGAACGCTTTAACCACTGGGCTACCCACTGCCCCTTACTGGATAGAGAACAAACACGGATATTCAATATTGGAATTGAGCAGGATATGTTATTAGGGAAGTGTAAAGCGCATAGCAGGAATGACGTCAATATGACAACGCCATCACCTTCGGAACGTAGATAACGATATTAACGTCTTCTATATCCGCATAATATGGTGGTGAAGTCCAGGTCACAAATCAGTTGAAGCTAAGTAGCGCTGGTCACGGAGAGTCCTGGATGGGTGACCTGTTTGGCAGCTTGACACCTGAGGGTTTCTTTGACTTCAGTCTTGCTCCACAACGAACATCCTCGATAATCTCCAGGGTATACGTTCCGATCACTCTCCACTAAACCCTGGGTGCATCCACGGCTTCGGGCGATGAATTTATTACCTCCCTTGGCTGGCTTTTTATCCAATCAGGTGCCTACGCTGGGGAGTTGAGCGTGCCAAGCACAACTCACTTTCGCTTCTTAAATTATCTAACCGTTTAAACTTAGCAACACAATTGATGCAGAGGTACTCTGAAAGAAGCAGAAGGAGTTCTTTCATATATATTTTTAAAGTTTCAGATCTGTCAATTTGTCTTTATTATTTCCCCCAGAATCTGAGTGGCACTGCGAACAAACCATCGCGAATGCGACCGCTATCTTTGTTGACACTGGCAAGCTCGGTTGTAACGGCGGCTTAGCTGATCGGCTACTGTGAGAATGCGGAGCCAGCCAAGGGAGGTAATAAAATCATCGGGCCAAGCCATGGATGCAGCCAGGGTATAGTGGAGAGTGATCGGAACGTGTACCCTGGAGATTATCGAGGATGCACAATGAAGCACACGTGACATATGTGGTCTTACCTTAGACAAATGACTTTGTTTCAAATTGCTTCTGTTCACCCAGTAGTGAATGGATACCCGGTGGGATAGGTCATATGACAACCTTCTACCGCCTCGCAGCTTGTGCTGTCCGGGTAATAGTGTCCATTATGCTGTATGCGCTTAGAAAACGCCCACGCGGCGTGGAGTTCAACACTATACAAGTGGCCTTATTATTTTTATAAAATGATAAAAAATATGTATATCATTGTTTTCTTGACATAAGATCAACAACAGACATCGAGCAACAATCGGTGTGAAATCGGTTTTATTTCCAGTGATGTACCAAGTGTAGGTGAGCAAATTTTGTTCAACGCCACGGTCAGCAATATTCTTGTTATCATATTCATGTACCTGATCGAGTCTGGACGGTACAAACCATCGGACACATCGACTACACGCAGTGTGGAGAGTAGGGATTGAAGTGAGTAGAGTGTCGCGACGGGGGACACCAGAAATGGGCTACACACAATATACCCATGTGGGAATCGAACCCGGGTCTTCGGCTTAACGAGCGAAGGCTTTAACCACTAGGCTACCCTACCGCTCCTAAATATTTGAGTCTGGGCCAGGCATTTCAGTGGTTGGTATTTGAGCAATGACGTGCGTGGTCACGTCAGACTCAACTTGACCACTTATTTTAGTTCGTTATGACCATAGTTCGTTATAACCATAGTTCGTTATAACCATTGTTCGTTATATGAATTTCGATAAAAATATTCAGCAAAAGGTCCGGACTAAAAGCACAACAACAAAAATCGTTATATCTGCCAGCTCGTTATATGCTTGTTCGGTATAAACGTAGTTTACTTATTAACTGATGTTTACTCCTTCAGTATAGGTACAGGCCGTTTGTTTACTCCTTCAGTATAGGTACAGGCCGTTTGTTTACTCCTTCAGTATAGGTACAGGTCGTTTGTTTACTCCTTCAGTATAGGTACAGACCGTTTGTTTACTCCTTCAGTATAGGTACAGGTCGTTTGTTTACTCCTTCAGTATAGGTACAGGTCGTTTGTTTACTCCTTCAGTATAGTTACAGGCCGTTTGTTTACTCCTTCAGTATAGGTACAGGCCGTTTGTTTACTCCTTCAGTATAGTTACAGGCCGTTTGTTTACTCCTTCAGTATAGTTACAGACCGTTTGTTTACTCCTTCAGTATAGGTACAGGTCGTTTGTTTACTCCTTCAGTATAGTTACAGACCGTTTGTTTACTCCTTCAGTATAGGTACAGGTCGTTTGTTTACTCCTTCAGTATAGTTACAGGTCGTTTGTTTACTCCTTCAGTATAGGTACAGGCCGTTTGTTTACTCCTCTTCAGTATAGGTACAGGCCGTTTGTTTACTCCTTCAGTATAGGTACAGGTCGTTTGTTTACTCCTTCAGTACAGGTACAGGTCGTTTGTTTACTCCTTCAGTATA